AAAAATAACATAATTATATCATTTTGTGTTATAAATTTGAGACTTTTTAAATAAAGACTTAGAGATTAGTATTAAATATGAAGAAGATAATTATGCATTTCTATATTATAAAGTATTTACTGGTAAAGCATTAAATAAGATTAAAATACTTTGTTGAAGAAGACCAAATTCTTCTTTTAAGATAATGATTAGTTATTCAAGAATATCCTTACATGTTTGACAACTTAATATGAAGCATATAAGATGATTTTATAATGACATAATCAAATAGCAGACTCGTTTTATTTTTATGATGGAATATTAGAAATATGTGTTTATTATTTTAATCTAATAAGAAAATCTTCTGTATTCAATAAATACAACTGTTCATAGAAAAAGAAAGAAGTTGTTACATTTAACATCTATTTGTTTGGCTGATATAATAATGATTCTAAACTTAAAGTTATTTTCAACAATAAAACTTACAACAAATATCTAGTGATTTTATGAGTGTCATCTATTAAAATAATAACTATTTTATTTAATTATGCTATTTTAAAATATATTAATAAATTAAAGGAATATAATAATATAGATATTATCAGGAATGATTTTTTTAGAAATAAGATAATGATAAATAAAGAGTCTAATATTATTTATTAAAATAAAATACTACAAAAAGAATAAGTGTAAATAATAAAAACTGTTTATCACAAAGAAATACTAATGGCATCATAATTAATAACTGAAAAGATTCTTCAAACGCTTCAAATGAATATAAATTATTCAAAAATATAAAAATACATTGTTACAGTTTTTACATTTCTTTATTTTTAATAAATAAAACGAATGAAAAATAAATGAATTACAGACTATCTTAGATAGAAAGGAATAACCAAGTCGTCCATTGTAGTAGAAGATTCATTTGCTTTATTATATACAAAAGCATAAATTATAGAAATAAAAAAGTTCAAAATAAAAACCCAACGAATAATTGCGAGGAAAATCCCAAAGAATGGGAAATGGAGTTGACCAATATTATAAATATCAACTTGGGTGTTAAGGTATAAATTTGGATTGATGATATGTTGTAACAAAGGGACTCCTCCAAACCCAATCAATAAAAGTCCAATAACTTCTACTAATTTGCTATAGTCTCGTTTTCTCAAAGAAATAAATTCGAGCTATAAAATAAGTCTTATTCATTTGTTGAGTATAAACAAATAATTAATTATAAACAAACTTTAAACCCTCCATTTTCTTGTTTACTACAAAAAATTCCAAGACAATGAATAAGCATTAAAATGATTGTTGAGATTCCATAAACCCATGGTGCAAACACACCAAACATTGAAATAATCTCATCAAATACACCACGTTCATTTACCCAAAATCCACATAAAATACCACATTCAGATCGTTTTGGTAAAGACACTCCATCAATAGCCATACAAATACCAACAATAATAATACTAACACAGATAACAAAACCAATAAAAATTCCTATTGCTTGAAAAATTTCTCTTCTAGTTTTAGTTCTGAGGACTTGCTTAAATTTGTGCTGTAATTGCATTTCCTTGTTACTAAATGATTGTAATTCATTTAACTCTTCTTCTCTTAAAAGCTCACCTTTTTGTTGTTTATCAATAAGAACCATTTGGTGTTTGTTGAGGTCTCGAATTTCATCTTGTATTTCACTTGCTTTTACACTAACAGGTGTTGTACCAAATAAAGTTTTGATGATGATACCAATTGCCTTAGGAAATGTTATACATAATTCAATTAAACCAAAGGAAGAAAGAAGAAGAACAATCGAAATGAGAAATCGTTCTGAATAATCTAAACTTAAGTTTTGATACATCCCACTTGATACCTCTTTCCATTGAGTTTCACCATGAACAATACAAATGATTGCCAAAATAAAGGCAATAAAAAGAGAAAGTAATGGATATTTTAAAGAATCATATAAATACCATACTAATATTTGATGAATTGGTTCAGTGCTTAAATGGCCATGAAGGAATGGTAAAAGGAGATAAGCAAAAATAAATAACAATCCATAACTAAAAGTTGTAAGAGTATAGTTGAGCATAATACTAAAAAGAAAAACAAAAAAGAACTAGTTAATTAATAGTAAAAATAATAAAAATGAAAATTAAAAAAATAACTAAAAAGAAATAATTCTATCAGTAGTAAATGAAATATGTTTCTGATGGAAGAAAAAATAGTTGGGTTAATATAGATGAAAGTGAAGATAAAGAAAAGATTAAAAATTATTTTCCTCAATTAATTCAAACATTCTGTAAAATGCATCATTTTGACTATAAAAAGCCACTAGAAATTAGAAATAAATTAGTTGGTCAAATAACTAATAACCCATTTTTTATTGAATTATTATCTACTCCACTTGGAGCCCAAGCTGTATTTTATGCAATTAAAAAGAAACTCACTCTTGTTGTTCCTTTAAATCCACCTCCTTTATCTGTTGAGTTTCTAGCTTCACATATGATTTATAGACAAGGTGGTAAAAAAGACTTTGTTTCTATTAATGGAATATATGGAAAGATAGAATCTGAAGGATTATCTCCATACAGTGATCAATTAATACCATTTCCTATGGTTATTCATCCTGAACTTATTAGTGATAGATTTTTATTTGATAAAATGAAACCAAAAATAACTCATATATCTGATGGTGGAGCATCAATAATTGAAGGATGTTCATGTGAGACTTCAATAGGATTTTTTCCTGTATTATTTATATCACAAACAATGAGATTTGAAGGATGTGAATGGGGATATTTATCAGAAAATGTGACTAAAGAATGGAAATTACCTATGTACTGTCCTGTTTGTATTCAAGAAATTGACGTTAATCAAATGAATGTAGAAAATATCAATGAAGTAACTAGAAAGTATAATTCAAATAAGTCACTTCCTAAACAAATTTTTAATGATGTAAAATCAAGAAAAGAAGCTGAAGCAAAAGAAAAAAGTCGTCTACAAAGAATATTTAAAGAAGATAATGTTATGTGGTTATATTCTAATGTTAAAGAAGAAGAGAATGAAATAACTCAATTAATTGCAGGTTCAATGAAAGATGAAACAGTGACAATGTATATAAATGCTACAAAAACACAATTTCCAGACCTTGTTAAAGGTAAATCAATGGAAGAACGTGCAAGACTATTACAACGAGTTGTTGATGGAGTAAAAAAGAAATTACCTCAACCTATTCAAGAACGATTTAATAATAATCTAACTGAATCAGAACTTGGAAGAAAAATTTTAGAGAATATCTTTAGTTCAATGTTATTTGAGTATATTTGGCCACCTTGTTATGATAAGTTTCAGACAAGTAAAGAAGTTGTTAATGATATGAAACTTGAACAAATAATTAAAATTCATCAATTTATTCATGCAAGTCATTTAGATGTTAACTTTCTTGATGAACCTTCTGGTCAAAAAGGAATTAGACAAATAATTGGAATATTAAGAAAAATGAATAATTTTAAAACTCCATCACAAAAACTTATACAATTAGCTAATGCATTTAAAATACTTCAATCATTAACTTTTTCATTATTACCACCTGGTGATTCAGTAACTGCTGATATATTATTACCTTCATTTATTTACATAGTAATTAGAGCAAATACATCACATCTTGCATCAACATTATCTTATCTTTCCGCTTTTTCACAACGAGGAGATGTTAATGGAGAATATTCATATTATATTACTAATCTATATGGAGCTATATCATTTTTATTAGAGATAAATGGAAATAAGCTAACGATAGAACAAAAAATATATGATGACGCTGTAACAAAAATGAAAAAAGAAATTTCACAACAAAAAAACTTATTTGATATTAAAAGAGAAAATGGAATTGCTTTATTTGAAAGATTTAAAACTGCAGAAACATTCAATGAATATGATAAAATAGAACTTTTAAAGAAATATCAAATGATTATAAAAGAGAATGCATTAATGAAAGAAGAGATTTCTAAATTATAATTGAAACAATAAAGTATTTTAATTAAACCAAACAATATTAGTTCTTTGATATTAACCAATTTTGCATTGATTGAGTATGATTAATATATGATTGCATTAATTTCTCACATGTTTCTCGTTTAGAAATAATACTTTGCATCTTTTTATAAGCATCATAAATATTTTGATTAATAACTCTCATTAATGTTAATTGTTCAAGACAGTTTTGAATAAATTTATCAATTTCTTGTTCAGAGCCAATTGAGTGAAAAGGTTGTATTTGAATTTGATTTTTTGGAATTCCCATTAAACAACTTGATGATAAAAAAGTTATTTCTTTAATTAATTGTTCAATAGAGTCATTAATATGTAATACCATTTTTAATTCTTGTTGTTTTAATTCCATTAAAGGTTGTTTTAATGTTTCATTTAATTGCGTTAATTCTTTTTCTATTTGAATTTGAATATCATTCATTAAATTTTGAATTGATAATTGAACATTATCACTCATATTTTTACTTGTTTTCTTCAATTTTGAGTTTTTAAGTTTTATTTACATAAAACATTAATTTTCTAATACTTTTATAAAATAATAAATAAAATAAAAGAAATTACTTTTAATTTAAAATTCCTTTTTCTAAAAGATGAATTATAAATTATTTTTGGTCATGAATTAAGTCATAATAATGATTTAAAAATTCATCTAAATTTCCTTCTGGTAAAGCAGGATAAGTTTTTCCATTATTATCTGTTATATGACCCTTTAAAATTTCATCAAATTGAGAGTCCAATATCCCATTAATTCCTCTAAAAGCTTCACATACTTTTTTTCCCCAAACCATATACCCTTGAGCAACTTCATATGGCTTACTTATTTATTAATTTACAACATCTATTTAAGTTTATTTAAATTAATAAAGAATAAAAACAAACAATGGACATGGTATAGTAGAAATTATTGATCCCATGTTGTGTATTTTATCTGCATACTTAATCATTTTACCTCCATAAGAGATTGTTTTACTATGCTCAATTTGTAATTTTTTTCTTGTTACTTTATCAAGTTTTTTATCATCTGTTGCTTCACGTACATATTGTGTAATTTGTTTACCAAAATGTTCTTCTAATTCTTCAAATGTGGTGTCTGTGTCTTCTACAGTATCATGTAATAATGCACCACTCAATATCTCAATATCATTAATACCTGCATCTCTTAATATTTTACATACTTTAATTGGATGTTCAATATAAGCTGTACCATCTTTTCTTAATTGAAATCTATGTTTGTGGGTAGCAAATTCTAATACAGACAAGAAAAAGTCAAAATCTAAATTCATCTTCAAATAATATATTATAAGTGAATTAATAAGTTCTTGTTTTTTAACTTCAAATATTTTTTAATAATAAAGCAATTAATTAAGTATTAATA